GGAACTCCTGGAATGTTTTGGCTTATAGTACTGTAAGTCCAATGCAGAAACTGAGAAATATCTGGAATTTTGTTAAGAGTGTAAGCTCAGCTGAAGATTTCACAATACGATTGATTGATTGATTGATTGATTGATTGATTGGTTGATTGATTTTGGTTGCTGTTTAGTTTCCATAGTAATAGTTGTATTTTTTTTATTTTAAAGAGATTTTATTTAAGAAATTCATATTCCATTTTTTAAAAGTCCTTCGCAAAGCAGCCTACAAAATGTTTAATATACAAATCTGGCTCATAAAGCATTTTTAAAATAATAATAAAAAAATCAAAGTACCAGAGTATTTTGGTTTTGACATGGTTCACATGGAATGCTATGCTGAACCATTTGTTGTTGTTGTTGTTTAGTCGTTTAGTCGTGTCTGACTTTCATGACCCCATGGACCAGAGCATGCCAGTCACATTTGTCTTCCACTGCCTCCCGCAGCTTGGTCAAACGCATGTTAGTAGCTTTGAGAACACTGTCCAACCATCTCGTCTTCTGTCGTCCCCTTCTTCTTGTGCCCTCAATCTTTCCAAGCATCAGGGTCTTTTCCAGGGAGTCTTCTCTTCTCATGAGGTGGCCAAAGTATTAGAGTCTCAGCTTCAGGATCTGTCCTTCCAGTGAGCACTCAGGGCTGATTTCTTTCAGAATGGATAGGTTTGATCTTCTTGCAGACCATGGGACTCTCAAGAGTCTCCTCCAGCACCATAATTCAAAAGCATCAATTCTTCAGCGATGGTCCAGCTTTCTTCCATACATCACTGGTCCAGCTCTCACTTCCATACATCACTACTGGGAAACATCACATACTGTTTAAGCCTGCCTTATAGAATTTTAAGCATAACCTTGCTAGCGTGTGAAACGAGTTCAATTGTGCGGTAGTTGGAGCATTCTTTGGCACTGCCTTTCTTTGGGATTGGGATGTAGACTGATCTTCTCCAATCCTCTGGCCACTGCTGAGTTTTCCAAACTTGCTGGCATATTGAGTGTAGCACCTTAACAGCATCATATTTTAAAATTTTAAGTAGTTCAGCTGGAATACCATCACTTCCACTGGCCTTGTTATTTGCAGTGCTTTCTATGGCCCATTTGACTTTACTCTCCAGGATGTTGGGCTCAAGGTCAGCAACCACACTACCTGGGGTGTACGAGACATCCATATCTTTCTGGTATAATTCCTCTGTGTATTCTTGCCACCTCTTCTTGATGTCTTCTGCTTCTGTTAGGTCGTTACTACTTTTGTCCTTTATTATGGTAATCTTTGTATGAAAAGTTACTTTCATATTTCCAATTTTCTTGAACAGATCTCTGCTTTTCCCCATTCTATTGTTTTCCTCTATTTCTTTGCATTGCTTGTTTAAGAAGGCCCTCTTGTCTCTCCTTGCTATTTTTCGGAAATCTGCATTCAATTTCCTATATCCGTCACTATCTCCCTCACATTTTGCTTGCCTTCTCTCCCCCACTATTTGTAAGGCCTCACTGGACAGCCACTTTGCTTTCTTGCATTTCCTTTTCATTGGGATGGTTTTCGTTGCTGCCTCCTGTATAATGTTACGAGTCTCCATCCATAATTCTTCAGGCACTCTGTCCACCAAATCTAAATCCTTAAACATGTTCCTCACTTCCACTGTTATTCATAAGGGATTTGATTTAGATTGTGTCTTGCTGGCCCAGTGGTTTTTCCTAATTTCTTCAGTTTAAGCTGGAATTTTGCTATAAGAAGCTGATGATCTGAGCCACAGTCAACTCCAGGTCTTGTTTTTGCTGACGGTATAGAGCTTCTCCATCTTTGGCTGCAGAGAATATAATCAACCTGATTTCCATGCTGCCCATCTGGTGATGTCCATGTGTAGAGTCGTCTCTTGTGTTGTTGGAAAAGAGTATTTGTGATGACCATCTTGCTCTCTTGATAGAACTCTGTTAGCCTTTGCCCTGCTTTGTTTTGAACTCCAAGGCCAAACTTGCCAGTTGTTCCTTTTATCTCTTGACTGCCTACTTTAGCATTCCAATCCCCTATAATGAGAAGAACATCCTTTTTGGTGTCATTTCTAGAAGTGTTGTAAGTCTTCATAGAATTGGTCAATTTCAGTTTCTTCAGCACCAGTAGTTGGTGCATAAACTTGGATTACTGTGATGTTAAAAGGTCTGCCTTGGATTTGTATCAAGATCATTTTATCATTTTTGAGATTGCATCCCAGTACAGCTTTCACCACTCTTTTGTTGACTATGAGGGCCACTCCATTTCTTTTACAGGATTCTTGCCCGCAGTAGTAGATATGATGGTCATCCGAACTGAATTCGCCCATTCCTGTCCATTTTAGTTCACTGATGCCCAGGATGTCAATATTTATTCTTGCCATCTCATTTTTGACCACATCCAGCTTACCCAGGTTCATGGTTCTTACATTCCAGGTTCCTATGCAATATTTTTCTTTACAGCATTGGACTTTCCTTTCGCTTCCAGGCATATCTGCAACTGAGCGACCTTTGGGCTTTGGCCCAGCCGCTTCATCAGCTCTGAATCTACTTGTACTTGTCCTCCGCTCCTCCTCAGTAGCATGTTGGATGCCTTCCGACCGGAGGGGCTCATCTTCCAGCATCATAACCTTTATATGCCTGTTGTCTTTGTCCATGGAGTTTTCTTGGCAGGGATACTGGAGTGGCTTGCCAGTTCCTGCTCCAGGTGGATCACGATTGCGGCTGCTTTCTTCTTCCCATCCTCCTGCTGCTGTGAGCAAAGCCATGGTTTGCTGTCATCCAAACCCAGGCTTGTGGTTTGTCTTGCTCCAGATAAACCACAACCTGTAACGAAGGTTTACAGCTTGTGATTTGTGCTTCAAACTCTCACTGAGATCCAGCACTAAAGGCCTTCTGGTGGTTCCCATACTGTGCGAAATGAAGCTACAGGGAACCAGGAAGAGGGCCTTCTTGGTAGTGGCACCTGCCCTGTGGAATGCCCTCTCATCAGATGTTAAGGAGTAATTCTGTAACATTTAGGAAATATCTGAAGGCAGCCCTGTATGGGGAAGCTTTTTAAGGTTTAATGTTTGACTATGTTTTTGTGTGTGCTGGAGGCCACCCAGAGTGTCTGGGGCAGCCTAGTCAGATGAATGGGGTACAAATAATAAATTATTATTATAACAATAAATTATTATTATTTTGGAACAGATTTATGTTTCCTGTGGAGAGCAATGGATTAATCCATACTGGACTATGACTCAGCAGAAGAAACGTCTCCAGCTTAGTAATTTAGCATCTGATATAACTGCTATTCGTGCCTACTGTGCCATGCGAAACACAACAAGTGAGCAGATTGCTGTCTATGCTATTTTTGCAAAATGTACACTTAATATATGTGAATAAAAATAATTTGTGGATAATTTTTTATTAGTTTTCAATTACATTCCAATAGCCTCATTATAACATTGCCAATTTATAATACAATTATTAATGCCAATCATTCAAATACCAAATTATATAATTTAATTAAAGTGGGCCCCATGTGCTAGTTTTGATGGCTTTCTGATTTTCTTTATTTCTGTGTTCCAAAATCTTATTATTTTCCATTACATTCCAGTCACACATCTTCAACCCTGCTATTCTTGGTAGCTGAGTAGGGAGGGGAGCAGACCATTTGGCTTAATCCTTGCACCAGCTCCAAGCTGGTGCAGCTATAGGGTCCAGATCAGGCCTGTGAGATCAGCTTGAGAACCAGAGGATCTGGGACTGCCTCAGCGCTGCTGTCTCCCACCTTTGGAAAAACTTTCCTCTGGATTCTGCTGGTGGAGATAGCACCTGTAGGCCTCCTGCTCACCTGCACATTCAGTGGGCAGAAGGGGAATGTTTGTTCCAACAGAGTGATGCTTGTGTCAGCAGTGGGAGGTCAGCTCAGCCAGCAGAGCTAATTAGAGATATGGCTCAGCACAATCCAACCCCTGGAAAAAGTTTGAGGTGGTGGTGGTTGATTACTCTGTTAGTTAAGTTTAAATTTGCAATATTGAACCCAATGGCTCTCAGAAGTGCTTAACGTTGGCTGGAAGAGTCCCACTGTGGTTATTTCGTAACCACATTTTTAAAATTTACTGTTATGTTACTGTTCCCAAAACAATGTTCTACCTGACAGTAGAGCAATTCCCCCTTTAGGTTCAGTCCAGCTTGTATATGATAGAACATAACTACAAAGTTCCAGTTTGGAAACTGTCATGAAGTATTCTGTATCAGCTGTATTCTGAAGATGGCATAGCTGATGCCGTTCTTACAGCTAGTGCTTCTGAATGGAGGGACTAAAAATTACAAAGGGCAGAGCATAGTGCCTTTGTCCTATATGCCAGGCATAGATTGCTGAATTGGTTTGGAGAATTCAAACCACGTTTGCAGCATAATAACAAAAAGAAATAGGAGTGCATATGGAGGTAAAGCATTGTGTTTAGTCATTCTTTGCTGAAGAGACTATGCTGGAAATCTGTCTTCATGGGCCTCTATAATCATGAACACTAGAGCTCACCTTGTAAGAATTTTCATCGTAAATAAGAAACCACTTCTGTAACTTAATTAAGGCCAAGCATTCTTTCATACATTTCTCCAGATCTTGCTTTAGAAGTCAAGAATGACATTGTTGTTGGGGCCAAATTATCTGTTGAAAGAGCTACAGTGGAATTTGAAGAGAAGAAGGTTGTGGAAGAGCTGCAAGAAAAAGAAGCTACGGAAAAAGTAGAATACAATGTGGATGAATGTCTGTAAGTAATCCTAAATGATAAAACACAGTCGGTAATCCAAAACAAACAAAAAAAAATCATTTGTGCAATGTTTAGGATGCAGCTATTAGGCTGCAGGGATAGTTTCCATTCAGTTTTTTATGCGTTCTTCGGATGGAGGGCAGTATATGAATTTAATTAATAATTAATAATATTCTTATTATTTTTTGCTTACAATTTGAAGACATTTTAATTGTTTCTCCTACTTAGGATGAATGGGAAACACTATGTGTATATATATATATATATATTATATATATATATATAGTGTTTCCCATTCATATATATATATAGTTAACATTATCTTCAATGGTATGGTGACTTAGATAAAAGGGCATAGGAAATCCTTCTCAAATCTGCGGATGACAAAAAGTTGAACCCTTCAGAAATAGGAATAAAATTCAAAATGGCTTTGCTGGAATAGGATGCTGACCCAAAATTAACAAAATGAAGTTTAACTGGAGAAAAATGCAAAGTTCTGCTTTTAGGTGAAGAAAAAACAACAACAGCCAAATACACAAGTATAGCATGGGGTGTGTGTGTGTGTTAATAAATTGCAAAGGTTTTTGGAAAGGTTGCAGCTGAACATCAGTCTGTGGAAAGAAAAGCCTTTTTTTTCCTGGAAGGCCAAGTCTGGATCCAACCAATAATTTCCAAATCATCCAGTCAGACCCTCATTTGAAGTTCTGTGTCCAGTTCTGGGTGCTTCACTTTACGAAGGTTATTCACAAACTGGAACAGTTCAGAAAACAACAAAGATTTTCAAAGATATGGAAAACATCATATGAATAAAGGTTGGAAGAACTGGCTGTATTTAAGTTTGGAAAAGAAAAAAAATGAGGTTGTGATGGGAGGCAGCCCAAAGGGCTTTTACATAGAAGAGGTCAAAGATTTGGTTTTCTTCTGCCCCAGAGGGCAGGACTTGATCTGATGGGCTCAAGTTACAGGAAATAGACTTAAAATCAATAGATTAGATCCAGAGGGGCTCCTGCTTGCATTAGGAGAAGTCTGTCATTACTACCCTCCCAGTTGCAGCCATCTATGCCACATCCCATGTCATTCCTGAGGCTTCCCTGATCCTCCGGAGCAGCTTGAGAGGGACATATGGGCTGCAGCAAGGACAAAGTGGCTGGACAGTCCCATTCCATGTATGCACTCACATACATTGGAATCTAGCTTGATGGACCTCAAAAGTGCTTAACTTCACCTGGAGTTCATTTCCTCTCATTTTAATTACTTATTCTTAAGGGCATCGTATTTTAAAATAAACTAACATCCATTCAAGGCTTACTGGAGGCCACGATAATCCAATTGAAAAAGAGTCCCTCCCACTGTCAAGAACCTGAAAAACTATTGCCTGTGTACAGTCCTAAGGAAAGAGGACTGAAGCAGGAAACAGTACCCATTTGAAATTGGCTGTATAAAAACAAATGCATTTACTCATTCAAGCAATAGGTGGCACTGTTGTTTTCTGAAATATAGAAAAGCTGTCAATATTAGGAATAAATCATAGAAATCATAAAGTAGCTGTTACTGTTGTCCTGTAGGGTGATATTAAAATCACATCAGTGCTTGCAGCATCAGTGGGGAAATATTCATGTTCCAAAAGGGTAATAATAATATATATTTCATGTCTTCGTATGCATTATCTTCATGCATGTAAAACTCATAGGAAATGTTCCAGAAATACAATTACAGGGCATATTTCGCCAGGGCATATATAAGGGCAGATTTATCCAGGGCCACTTGTTCAGGTGATAGCTGTCATTACACGCTCTGAAACAGGAATACCGTGGGACCCTAACAGACTCTCATTTAGACAGGTTAGAATTTTTGTAGGAAGCAGACATATAAGAGCTGTTAATTCTTGCCTCGGTAAAACTGAATGAGAGCCAATAAACTGAAGCTCAATCCAGATTAGATTGAGGCACTGTTAGTGGGTGGTTCTCTAAATTGGATAAATGGGATGTTGCCTGCTCTTGATGGGGTTACATTCCCTCTGAAGGAGCAGGTATGAAGGAGCAAATAATGGAGGGCCTCCTGGATCCATTGCTCACTTGAGGCTCAGGTAGCCTTGGCATGGAGTAACCTCCATCATTTTTGGTTGGTGGCTTCCATCATTTTTGGTTGGTGGCAAGGAAAGTCTATGCAATGCGTTATACATGGAGCTGTCTCTGAAGACAGTTCAGAAACTTCAGCTAGTGAAGTATTTAGAGGCCAGGTAGCACTGGCTGCAAATTAGTTCTAAATAAGGAATTAGATCTACATCAGGAACAAGGAGGTAATAAATATTTCTCTTGTAATCTGCTGCCCCTGTGGAACCTGCCACCCAAGACAGTCACTTCACCTTGCCTCAGAGTACCTTGTTTCCCATGTAAGAAAATGTTCGATTGTCTGTGGATATAAAATCATTTGAACAGCTCATAGAATAAGTGGAATTCCTAAAAAATAAAGGAAATGATACACTAATTGAACAATAATTAAAATGAAATTTTGTATATAGCAGATGTTGGACTATATCTCTTGCCATCCTTGATTTTTGATCATGTGGACTGTGGGAGCTGAAGTCCAACATCACTGGAGGATCAGAGGTTAGCTACCCCTGCTATAAAGTCCACCTTTTACCCTGCTTCATATTTCATTTACCTCCTGCCATTATGCTGTGTAGCTTTCTTCCTGACCCTTCTCTGTCCTCAAACAAATAACTTGCTTAATGTGAAATGTTATGTGTTTGAACCTGCAAAATATGTTCTTATTGGCAATTTATAAGAGTTCCCATAAACTGCAAGTGGACAGCTCTGCTTGTGTGTCTTCTATTTCAAAGTTCCTAAGTTGAAATAGTAAATATTTCTTTAGAGAAGGTTTGCAGAAAGTCTTATAGACCATTTTTCAGTTTAGTGCTTAGCATTGGCCTAAGCAATTTTCTGTTGCTGGTTCAAATGTTTTGCTTCCTGAGAGAAAAACTGGATTCTGTAAATGGGTAGTTTTCCATGGCCTTGCATTAGGGATGAGGGAGAAATTTAATTCAATTTACATTTAAAGGGGAATGTAACTAATTCACACTTTGCAAATCAACATGTGAACCAAAATGTGCACTATCCAAATTTTGCTGAAGAGTTTTCCAGCCAATTGATGTGCACAAAAAGGCATGAAAAATGCTTAAATTGGTTAAATGCTTATATTGTGGAGAGCTGCTTTGCAAAAATGTGTGTAAAAGACAGTATTATGTACAAAAAAATGTATGTAGGAAGAGAAATTCATCTTAAAATGTTGACGAACTTTCAAAAGTACTTCAGTTCATTTTTTTTTTTACTTCTAATTGTAATTCTAATTTACTGACTTTTCCATTAGGCATGCAGATATTATGTTGGACCGTTTATTATGTATTATTTGCTTAAAAAAAAAAAATCTGATCATCCTGGACTTGACTGGAACCTACTGACTGCCAAAAAGAATTATGCCTACAAGTAAATTATGAAACTGTAAATCCTCTATGCTGAAGCGCTGGATAGCAAAAAAACACACTGTCAGGGCTGCCTCAAGTCTCAGCTCACAAAAGACCAACGCCTATCTCTTCTTATATACAAAAGTGTTTATTGCAGTTCATTGTTTGCTTCACATCCGAGGCGCGCAGCCCTACGTCTGCTACGCTTAGACCGCTGAAGTCCCCTCTGAATCAGTCCCTCCCCGCACCAGTTTAAGAGGCTTGCGCTGCTCGACGTCTTCTCTCTTTCCTTTTCCGCAGGGTCTTTCTGCCCGCTGGGGTTTCGCCCCTCCTGGATTCCTCTGACGCGGAATCCCCAGACTGCTCTTGCCCCCTCCTGCGGGCTTCGGGACCTGGCCCCTCCTCCGGGCTCCCTGTACTTCCGCGCGCCTCTACATTTGAACTAGGCGTGCGCGCCCAACCTCTAACTTTCCTTTTAACAGCTACACTACTCCCTTCACTACTCCCCTCCCCTTCCGGGAGGGTGGCTTGCTCCGACCTCCCTCCCTTCTCTGCTGCCGGAGCCGCTTCCCCTGATACACTGAAACCTCCACCCCTTCGCTGCACTCTGGCGGGGAGGCTGGTCCTGACGCCCAGCTGCCACTTTGGGATCCCCCGCTGGCCCCTGCTCCTGACACGTCCCCCTGGGGCTCCCTGGCCTTGACCACCGGCGCCCTTCTGGGAATCCTCTGATTCGCTGGAAAGACTCATGGAATCTCTTGAGTCATTGTCATCCTCTTCCTCGCTGTCCTGGGATTCATCCCCATCGCTCTCCATCTCCTGCCTACCCTGTGCCTCTGTCCCTGAACCCCTGACACACACCATGGAATTTGACCCAAATGGCTGTGTTGATGGAACAAACAAAATAAGAGCAGAGATATTAGAGCTGTGTGCAAATGGTCTCTCAAATTCCTCAACCCTATTTGTAGCTTGAGAAAGGTGGCGGGCTATTTGACCTTCAGGAAGAGACCTTTTATAGTGGTGATCACTGTTAGCAGTGGCAATAGCCTAGGTTCTTTCTCTGTTTGACTCCACTGTCCAGTATAAAAGCAATGGACTGCTTTTATAGACCAGGCAATAGATAGTTCCTCTTTCTGTATGAGCTTCAAATGTTTCTTGGTAGGTTACCAGCTGAAAGCCACACATGTAGTTGTATCTTAAAAACTCAATTTATCTCTACCTGGGATTTTTCCAACCATTTACCAACTACCAACCTTTTTTTTTTTACCTCAGTTAACCATTCACATACCAAACAATATTATAACACAGAAAAGCATTCTTATTTGTAAATTTATATAACATACCGACAAAACTTTTCCCTCAGCGTTTGCTAATTCTCCAAAGTTCCCTTGCCCCGTTGCTGAGAATGCAGAAGTGAAACAACATGAGCGTTAGGAAGCCTGCACAGGTGTCAGGAAAACAATTTGTTGTGGCAAGCTATTATCTAAGATAGGAAAGGGAAGAGGAGCAGTAACTCACTCACTCAGACACAAATCATGTAGCTAACACTAATGAAGCGGATTTATAATGCCTCTGTAGTTGATTTAGGTTCCCCCAAAAAAAAGTATTTCTTGCTGAAAAGGCTGAGAACTCTCCTGTTGTTTAGCATCTTTAAAGCACCAAGTAGATACAAACTTCTGGCCTGTCTACCGATATTTATGACCTTCATGTGAGGTGGGTGGGGAGAGGAATCACAACCCTTGGGATTTTTCTCTTGACCCAGGAAACACATTTATCTCACTCTATTCTGAAGAAAGATTTCACAACCTGTTTAGGTAGGTCTGTGTACATCATAAGA